TCCATCTCTAGAATTCTCTACAACCATCCATAATAAAATATTTACAAAGGATTATCTAGGATTATCTAGAATAATCCACAAGTATTAGACTTGCTAATTGTCTAGAATTCTCCATTACCTTCTAGTTAATTTCATGTACTATCATTGACTAGAACATTCTGGATTCGCCTCAAGACACCGTTGTTCTAGATAATTCTGCCATTTTTGTTATGCAACGAGCGGGTGGTGACAATAAACTACCAATTGGTTGAGCTCAAATGTGAACTTCTAGCATGGGTGCCTTATACTATGTCTAGCATCGTTTTGCAGTACAAGACGGCGAATCAACAGTAGATCAGCAACAGTACTAGTCACATGCCCCATACTAGAAAGCAGATTTTTCGTGAAAAGAAAAGCTCGTACTCATTAGTAGAATTGTAACTTGCAAGTAAACACAGAAGAAAGCAGACAAGGGAACCTGTTTCTGTTTGTCTGATTAAGAAAGGGAAAATAGGAGATGGAAACAATAGCATCTTCATTCCGTGGAAATTCACAGAAGGAAGCAGACATAAAGAGCCATTTGAAGCACCTGGCAGGATGACTATCACATGAAAAGTAGTAAAAGCAATTATCTAATAAACTCACACAAGGATTCAATTACTGATTTATCTGCATTCCAGGCAAACTCAATTTTCATCTCAACGTATAATTCATGAAAGAGGTATGCGGAGCAAACTCAATATGAACAAGAATAGGCGAAAGGAGAAAGATTCATTAACTTACCCCACCAAGTAGCTAAAACTTACCCTGAAGTAAGAATGCTTTAGCGTCAAGCCGTCTATTATAAAGTATGCGAGTGCACCAGCTGCTAGATAGCCTGCATATTTCCGTAAACCATAATCCTAAGGAATACAAAGCAGGGAGAGCTGCTAGATAGGTTCATATTTCAGGAAACCATAGTTCTAAGGAAAAACACAAATATAAAGCAGAAAGAGTAATGCCACAGCTAAATGAGTAGAAGTCACTTGCCGACTTATGTCTGTGCTTATAGCAAACTGACATAACAGAAGCTTCTAGAAATAAACATAATCTCATGAGAAACTCAAACTTATTGATTTGCTAAAGAATACCACTATATTTGAGAGAAAAACTTCTCATGAATTTTTATTATGGTCAAAATTAACTAATTGTCACAAGACTTACAACTCATATTTAAAACAATAATTTAAACCTTGATAACAATAAACTTCTAGATAATAATGAGAATTAAAGATAACGACTAACTCTAAATGGAATTAAATTTTTAATTTAACTAAACTAAACTAAATTATCCAAAAAATACAAAAAAAATGTGAGAAACTCAAACCTGACGATTCGTTGAACAATCGCACTATATTCGAGAGAAAAACTTCTCACGAATTTTTATTATAGTCAAAATTAACTAATTATCATAAGACTTACAAATCATATTTAAAGCAATAATTAAAATATTGGATAACAATATCAATTAATTCTAAAATGAATTAACAATTTTTAATTTAACTAAACTAAACAAAATTATCCAAAAAAATGCAATTTTGAAGTCCTAGATGATGAAATTTGGCCGAAAAAGGTCGAACATCGAGGCAGATCTCTGAATTTTACTTATTAGGCCATTTCCAACCAAAATTCTTCAAAAACGGAGACTCTAAAAAATTAAGTCTTTCGGCGTCGATCCACATCTCCATGAAATATTTTTGTTTCTGTATTACAACCTTCTTTAAACAAGTAGGTGTACACGGGAACCGTTGCCAGTATTTAAAAAGAGAAAATTACCTAAAACCAGACATTTAAGTTTTCAAATTCAAAAATCAGGTTTAAAATTTATTTAATAAAAAATCAGGTATTAATTAAATTAATAATTAAAACCCAATTAATTTCCAATCCATATCTCTCACTCGTCTCTCTCTCTACCTCCCTTCCTATTAACCTCCCATCTCTCTCGGTGATAGCGCTGTTCCCTTGGGATCCCGGTCTCTCACTCATCTCTCTATCTAAACCGTCTCCTCATCCCTTCTCTTAGTAATAGCGCCGCCCCCGGAAGAGAATCTCCGACGCAGCGACGTCACCACCGGAAGAGAACCGTCACAAGTAGCGACGATTTGCACAGCCCTAACATCACCACCGGAAGAGAATCTTAGTAATAACGCCGCTCGTAGCGGCGCTCATCTTCACGCACGGCGGTACTCTGTTCGTCGCTCAGCTCAAATCTGAGGAAGGAGATTGGGTGTCGTTTAGATGGTGAGGTCAACGTTAGGTTGCTAGTGATTTTGATCTCAAAATCGCGATGGTTGGTGGTTGTGAGAACAACAAAGCTGCTGAGATTGATTTTTTTGTTTCCGATCTCCCCTCTCTCTTCGACACCGTCGCTTTTTTGTTGTGGTAGTGATGTGGTGTGGTGGTGGTGGTGATGACACTGCATTTCTGGTTGTGCAATGGTGGTGAGGTGTGGTGTGTGGGATGTGGAGGTAGAGGCGGTGATGGTGTGCCGGATGTGGATGTGGAGATGGAGGTAGAGGTGGTGGTTGTTGGGAACAGGCTTCTTCAGCCTCTGGATTCTCTCGATGAACTCCTGTCTTTGCTTGATGTGAGCCTCAACAAAAATCTTTTCGATTCGTAGATCCGCAAACGTGCTTGATTACTTATTCCTATTAAAGAAATCAGTTTGTTGGTGGTGGTAATGGCAGTTGCGGTGATGCGTTTTGTTGATGGTTTTCCAATTTGTAGTATTTTGGATATGGTTTTTCCAGTGCAGTGACGATGTTTGAATTTGGTGGCACGGGATGAGATTTTGACCAAAAATGTGTTGATTATGACTGGTTGTGACTATTTGTGACCGATTGTGACTTGAAATTCTGGAAATCTTTTGGAAATTGGGAGTGGATGGATGTGCTGGGTAGGTTGATCGGAGCATGTGTTGGAGTAGTTATTGGAGCAGTCAGAACTGTCATCGGAACGCCTGCCGGAGTAAACGTTGGAATAGTCGCCGGAGTAGAAGGAATAGGGTGAGGATAGAGAGTAGAGAAAAAAAGTGATCTGGATTTGAAATTTAATAAATTGGGATAATTGTATTATATTATAATTAAAAATATTTAATAAATTGATTTAACACCTGATTTTTTAAGTTTGTTATTTATGAAATGTGATATTTAAAACAAGGAATTATGTATTGTTCCCATTTAAAAATCTTTTATTCTCAAAACCTTATCCAGGTTTACCAGAATAATAAATGTGTCCAAAATCATTTAATTCAAGCTTTGAGGGGGTGGGGGGTGAGAGGATACTGGGAGACAGAGAAAGAGAACACATTACATAGGGAGGAACAAAAGCCTTTATTTGGCAATTGACACAAATTTACACTGTTCATGTTCTAGTAATTTACATAGGTACACAATGTTCTAGTAAACAAAGTACTAGCATCCTATATCAAAGATCAGATAAATTTGGTACATATATTCGGCAAACCTATTCATGTCAAGCTGCTATTAAAATACAAGCTAAGATTTGGAAAATGCCTCACGAAGCCTTTCACTGTCAACTAAATAAGCAAAACCATAAGCCATGTTCTTCAAGGAGGCCTCATGCAACTCCAACGACGACGTTGCTGTCGCATCTGTTGAGAAAAAAACCCTAAACCCTCTAACAAATGCATCTCTAGCCGTGGTCTCACAGCACAGATTGGTCATGACCCCAGTCACTATAACCTCTTTCACTCCCATATTCACCAGCTTCTCCTCTAAATTTGTACCTGAAGATGTACAGCACATCATTGTAGCTCAGCCTCATTAGTTTTGTGAATTTGAGCAAAAAATATTGAACCGCTCTGCTAAAAAATCTAAGAGAAAAAGTATGCTTAGATTCCTTATATGGGGGACTTTCTCAACGGTGATTATAATGACAAAAAATCTCATTTAGTTTCTCTAATCGCACGTCTGAATCAAAGTGTTTTTTGTTTACTAAAAAGTCTAACTATACTGCTGAAATTGTATTTGAAGGCCAAGGTACTATAGAAAGACATCCTTTTGCTTTCAAAAGACACCCCTTTCACTCAAAATTCCATTTCCTAAATATAATCCATAAATGAATTTAGCTTGGCACTGAGTAATATTAGGATTTTATAGAAGCTAATTTGACTCGCATTTCACTGAGTTACCGTCGAATGGAATGGTATGCTACAGTAAATTATTTGAAATCCCTAATTCATTTTATAAAACAAAATCTATAAACCCATCAGATAAATTTAAAATCTTTATAAGACTTGGTGAATAGCGGTACCTCTGAAGGCGCTATATGTGTTCTTTTCAAGAACCGAGTCATCCCCCTTCCTATCCAACTCGGGGATGAGTTGTGACTCAGGAGTGCCGTCCATGATGAGGTCGCCGTCCCACCACTCATACAGCATACCGTAGTCGGCGGGGGATTTGTGGCAGTGTCTGGTGAATATCACAGGTACAGAAGCGCGACGACAGAGGTCGATGGTGGCGTTGAGCGAGGGCAGAATAGGACGAGCCATGGAGTAAAAGTAGTTCTCCATGTCGATGACCAAGAGGACCGCAGTATTCGGGTCCGGGTTTCTCTTTCGGGTCTCGAATTTCTTGTACGAAGACATTCGAGTAAAAGCAAATCTACGTAGGTACTCTGGCAAGGAAAATCTACAGAGAACAAAGCTATTGTAAAAAAATGGTAACCCTCTTATCTTCCAGCAAGTTCTAGATTAGTTGAAGGGAAATTTATATTTTTGGTCCCCATACTTTTCCACTTGAAGCACTTGTCTCCCCAATCAAAATTTATTGGTTTTCTAATCATCAAGCTTTAATTTAGATGTATGTACGTCATAAAGATATTTCTATCAAAATGCATCGTATGTCGTGAACATAATCACTTAAGACAAGGTTATTCTGTTGTCCCTACGATGGTCGGTGTAGAATGTTTTTCTTGATTTGGATTGTGAAATTTAAGTGGTACAACGATTGCATACACTATTAAAGTTTAAATCAAACATTTAGTTAACTATTAAAAAAATTCGTAATTTTGGCTCATTAAAGATGTTGCATACCATTTCTTGAAAGTTTTTGCGGGTATTCATTGGTAATGGTCAATAGTGAAGGTCCAAACCCGTTGTACAGTTGTCGACTCGTCACTTTTACTTTTCCTTTTTGTGTTTATGGTTCGCGATACAAGTATTGACACCTCTTGCTTCTTCTTTTTTACATAAAATGGTGTATGTAGAAAGCAAGATACATCATTCAAGGTTGTACAACTTTTGTCTTTAACCTTTCCTCTCTAGTACAAGCTCTAAAGAGACAATTTGTTCTAATGATGAAATGGTTTGAGTAATTATTTATGGGTAAGATTTTCTAATAAAATTTATGTGCCACAATATCTTTGGTTACTTGCATTGAGTTATAAGAAGAACGCATCTCAAGTGGTACTATTGATTATATGATAAATGGACCAAATCCAAAACTGGGGTTCATTCAGCATTTTCAGTGAGTTTGAGAGAGATTGTTTTGTTAAAACATTTGCTCTATGTTTTCAAGCAATTGGACAATATAAAAATGGACGTCACCATAAATTAAATGTACGAAGGTAAGCATGTAAGGCACTCGCTACGTAAGACGGCCCACTGTCAGCTAAAAAAGAGGTCTCGATATTGTTGACATTCAATGCAAGGTGAGAACTTGATAGTAATAAAGTTCCACTTGGGCGACAATCTAGCATGTGTGCACCCCTAAATGGAGTCTCCTTGCATATTTGTAAAATTGATGGATTTAGTGGCTGAATTATTAACTTTTGGCTACTTTGTCACTTTTCACAAAATAATTATAATGTCGTAATAGTCTAAATATAATAATATCTTGTGATAGTCTCCATGTTTAATAATTTGAGGGGCTTGATCATAAATAATGAAAATAAAATAAAATAAACACATAAAAAGAAAAGAGAAATAAAATTGAATGCAAATAATTAGACACAAAAAAATAAATAAATTTTTAACGAAGCCCACTTCCGCTAAAAATAAAGTGGAAATTACATAAAATCAGAATTTTAAAGATTCAATTTCAAAAATCAAATTAAATGTTCACTTTTCAAAAATCAGATATTTTATTTTAAATATTAAATATTAATTGTACAATTTTCACCACAAACCCTAATCAATTTCCTTTCAATTTTCCCCATCTCTCTCTTCTATCTCTTTTCTCAGAGTCACTCTCTCTTCTCCCTTCTCCTCCTTCTCCGTCGGCAGCCTAGCCTCCACGAGACAGAGGGAGCAGGATGGACTCCCGATGATAGTGAGCAGTACCTGCTGCCTTCGTGACTTGAACACAACTACTACCGGTTTGGGAGCTGCCGCTTCATGCGAAACGCGACGGTAGGCCTAGGTGCCATCGCAACTGGCACATAGTAGTGGCGCTCTCGGCGCTGCTTTGTGTGGGAGGCAAAGCGGCGGTGGTCTCGTGCTGGCGCGTCGATGTTGATCGGTGATTGATAGCGTTTTCTGGTGCTTTTGTGTTTTGTGACAGTGGCATTTTTTTGCGCATCGAAGACGACGGCTATGATTTTCTAGCGAAGCAGCATGTTATGGTTGGTGAGATTCACTTAGGCCAGATTTTGAATTGGACGATGATTTTATTGATTTTTGGGCAGCGATTTTGTTGATTTCTGGGAGGCGATCTGGTGTTTGGACATTGTTGGATCTTGTTGGTGCGGTGGTGACGATGGTTTTGTTGGTGGTTGTGTTGACGAGGTGGTGGTGTTGGTGGATTTGAAGTTGAAGTTGAAGATTTGTTGGAGATGGTTGGCAGAAATGATGATAGGGTTGGAGATTTTTTCGGGTTGCAGGATAGGGTGGTGTGGTGGAGGTGGTGGTGGTTCCGACGACGGGTTTCGTTTGCGATGCTGTTGGTAGCAGTTGTGAGGTGGTAGTCACAAGTGTTGGTGGCGGTCACAGATTATTTTGGTTGTTTGTGACAATTAAATTGAACCGACAAACAAATTGTAACCAATGAAAAGATAAATTGTGACAAAAAAATAATGTGTGACCTACAAATTATTAATTTGTGACCGATAATTTGATAATTTGTGATTTATAATATTTGTGACTTGTGATCTATAAATAAATTGTGACATTTCAATTTTTGATTTGTGACCGATGAACAAATTTTGACTTATAAAATTTTTGAATTGTGATATTAAAATAATTTGTAATATATAAAATTTGTGATTTGTGACCAATGAATAATACATGACTTACTAATTTTATAAATTTGTGATCGATGAAAAAATTATGACCTATAAAATTGCCCATTTGTCATTATGAAATAATTTGTTACCAATTAATTTATAACTTGTGACCAAATTATATGAAATTGTGACATTAATATATTTAATTAATAAAATATATGTTTAATTAATTAATTTATAAATAAATTTTAAGAATATCTTAAATTTGAAATTTAAGTTTTCAAGCCCTATTTGAGTCACGTTAGAATTTTCATTTTCATTATTTTATTCATTTTCAACTACACATTTTTCAATAAAATAATATTTTTTATTACATTAATAACTTTTCTTTCTTTTTTACACAATTTTCACAAATTTACCATTTCAAAATACGTTCTTTCGTAATAACGTGGTTTAAACGCACCCTAAATTTGAAATTGGTAAAAGGTAAAACGAAACCGGCTAGTTGTGAAATCTTCCCAAAAATAAATCAATCCAGTCGTCGTTCTCATTTCCCCAACCCCAATTTTACATCCCCAAATTGAATTGAATCGATTCCAATCAATTACGATAAATCTCTCTGTAAGAGCTGCAGAATATCAAATCAATTATGTTGTTATCTCCTGGCCACTCTCCCCGTCACATCTCCACCCCCTCCGATCAAACGCCACAAAACCCTAACCCTAATACCGATTCCCTTGTTTCTAATCCCGATTCAAACTTCGCCAACCGGAAGCGGCACCGGGGTTCCACCGTCCTCGACGAGGATACATATGTTGCGGCGATCGAGAAGATTATAGAGCGAGATTTCTTCCCTGACATCCCCAAGCTCCAGGACCGCCTCGATTGGCTCCAAGCCGTGCGCTCCCGCGATCCCGTACTCATCCGCGATGCCCAGCTCAAGATTCTTGATCGCCGGCGCCAACGAAAAGAATCTGCTGCCGATGCTTCGTTCCGGGCCACGACCAGCACTCCCGGTTCCACCTTCTTCAGGAACACCTCGGTTACTCCCTCCCTTTATAATCAGAAGAAAGAAAGTTTTGCTAATGATGAAGACGACAAGGGTACCGGCGATGGTGAAGGAGAAGGAGAAGGTGTGGATACTTCCGTGAGTTTGGACGACTTCTTTAAGAAATACACCAGCGAGGACAATGAGAGCTTTTCGAGAATTATAGAGAAAGTGAATAGGAAGAGGAATGAGAAATATGAGTTTTTGTTGGAAGGTGAGAAAAGGGAGGATGATTCAGGAAATTTGATTGAGGATGATAATAAACGTGAGCAAATTGCTACCGATGGGTTTGGGACGTCTGATCAGCCTGTTAGTACTTTGGAAGGGTGGAAGTACACAGCCAAGAATTTACTGATGTACCACCCTGCTGATAGAGGAGAAGCGCCCTTGACCCTGGAGGAGAGAGCCGTAAGGTTGAAGGGTATGACAAAGGAGATTAGCAGAGGTAACACACGTTTTCATGGCAAGTTGGTGGATGCTAGTGCTTCAATGGACGAGGAGGATACTGTGGCAGTGCTTTATGCGCCTGTGGCTGGTGCTACTCCAGTTCCGGTGTCAAATAGAGACCGTGATAAGTTGAAGAAGTATGATTTGGAGGATTTGAGGAAAACCCCAAATAGATTTTATGTGGAATCCGAGAAGAAAGCAGATAATGGGTATAATTTTGTGAAGACGCCATCTCCTGCCCCAGGGGTTGACGAATCACCATTTATTACGTGGGGAGAAATTGAAGGAACTCCATTGAGGCTAGAGTCAGAAGACACTCCCATTGATATTGGGGGCAGTGGTGATGGGCCACAGTTTAAAATTCCAATGCCACCTTCGAGGGATGTAAAGGCTCATTCATTGTCTAGGGTTGCTGCAAGGAAAATCAGGGAGAGGTCTAAGATGTTTCAGAAGCCTCCATTGCCTTCTCCGGTCAGAGGGGGAAGTGCTAGTCCGAGTACACGAAGGCTTTCACCTGCTGCACAGAAGTTCATGAGGAATGCGATTGCCAAGTCTTCTCGATCCATTGATGAATCTTTGAGAGCAAGTTACCGTAGCCCAAGCCCTGGGTTGAGTACTCCGAAAAGTGGAAGAAGCATGTCAAGGTTGGGAAGAGATGACAGCATGACTTCCAGGTCACCTTCTATAATAGAAGGCTCTAATCCTCCTCGGTAACTTTAATTTGTATCTTCCTTTGTTTAGTGGGATGTTTTGCAGTGTATCAGAATTGATACATTGAGCGTATACATCATTTACCTTTTCAATTACTTGGTGTGCAAGATTATAAGATAATAAACATTTATATATGCTGTTAAATTTTGCTTTTTCTTCATCTTTTAGTGAGTGAAACTTGTGGGATTCTATATTCTATTTTATAAAAGTGCAAGATTATTCTGCTTCAATTTGATTGCTTGGAAATGGGTGTAGGAAGTGGGAGGAACGAGCTGCTTGGTATCAATTTTATAAGTATATGATTCTGTATACTATACTGTATTTAGTCTGTACAGGGGTGCTGTGCTATGCTCCATATGCTGGATGTATAAACTAGGGTCTTTTTTACTTTTTGTTCATATATATCAGTTATTATTTAATTCAAGTGATTTTAGGATTGCCTGTACACTGGACTGGCGGAGCCAGCACATGGTGAGGCCGCTCTTGCTGGCTCCGCCGGACTCACCGTTGCCGGTCGAGAGCCACAACCACTGCAGAAAACTTGAATTAGAAAACGCTGACCTGAGGTTGAAGATGAAAGCAAAGTTGCTTGGGCATTTTTATGTTATTGGGCCCCTTGTTACCCAAATGCCCAATCTTATATGAGATCACTTGGTTTGTATTGAATCAGACCCAAATGAATTCAATTGCAATGAAAAACGAAACTGGCTATGCAATTGTACAAACCCTATTTGCTATCCCTATTCTCAAAATCTCAATCACTCCCTTAAAGTCTCGCACCCTGCCCCTGCCCTTGCCCTGTGACGGTATGACCTGCTGTAGCCACCGATGCTGAGCCTCTGGTCTCCGCCACTGGCTGTAATACCCGGACCAGGAAAGCTTAAAAGATTTGATAGGTACTACTCATACCAACAAGGTGCACCTTCTTTTTCGTAAGTCCATCGTTAGAAACTCTATAGTTAAGCGTGCTTGGCTTGGAGCAATTCTATGATGGGTGACCCCCCAGGAAGTTTTCTCGAGGGGCGTGCGAGTGAGGACAAAGCATGCTGAAAGGACCCATGTTGGTACAGTGGGGACAGTACGTCATCGATCTAACGGTCGGGACAGCGCGTTAAGTGCAGCCCGTTAAATAGGACCCGAGTCGTTACACAATGGTATCGGAGCCTGGTTGCCAGCCGAAAATCGAGAACTAAGTACTATGCGGGACAATGTGCTACGCCATAAGGCGGAGAGCCACCTCTTGAACCTGTATGAGCTACCTCTAGAATTTCGACGCCTGGCAACGGATCCTTAGATGGATCAAGCGCGACGAGGACGTCGCGAGTCTAANGGGTGCCCCCCAGGAAGTTTTCTCGGGGAGTGTGCGAGTGAGGACAAAGCATGCTGAAAAAATCCATGTTGGTACAGTGAGGACAGTACGTCGTCGATCTAACGGTCGGGACAGCCCGTTAAGTGGGACCCAGGTCGTTACACTGGCCTTCGCTGTTCTGAGTCAGTGAATCTATTGTTTGTCTTTTCTTTTTTTGGTTTTTCTTCTTTTAGAGTTTAGTTCATTTTTCGACTTTTCATTTATGATTTATGCTTTATGAGTTACGGATGTGTTTGTGAGCCTGTTAATTGTGAGGATTTTAAATTTTGTGAATTTGAGGATTGAGAATTTGAGAATATTGGCGATTTTGTTATTGAATGCTGAGGTTTATGATTTTTGAAAATTGAGAATTTGAGAATATTTGATATCTGTGGATTGCGAATGGTCGTTGGCTGTCGATGGTCAACGGCCGCCGCATTACCTCACTATTACGATCAGAAAATTGAGAATTTGAGAATATTTGATATTTGTTGATTGCGATTGGTCGTTGGCTGTCGATTGTCAACGGCCGCAGTACCTCACAATTACGATCGTTTACCGTCGACGATCAATTGTTAATGGAAGGCCTACCAGACCTCCAATCATGGATCCACCACTAACTATAGAGATTGAACTGAGGTGCATGTGACTTGTGCTAGTTATTTGGGTGTGCTAATCTAGATAGTGGAAGATAATTGTTTGGGAACATCTTCAAGTATTTCTATTTTGTACGAGTAGAAGTTTGAGGATTTCAACGTGGAGCATGTTTGGGGTGGTATACTCTTTCTTTC